CTCCCCCACCCCCCCACACAGCCCCAGCATAGCCCAAGGTGGCTCCCTGAGAGCAGGTACTGTGGTTCAGGTTCCTGGATGAGGGTTAATCTATCTGTGGCTCAAGGTTTCCCTTTTCTCTTGGCAGACTTTGCAGTTGGAAGTGAAGGCTCCCCAACAAGGAAGTAATTAAATAAGTCAGACAATACGGCCTGTTTTTGAAATCCCATGGGTTTACCAGGATTGGAAGTACCAATTTGGGCATTAACCCTATAAATTGTTTGATACTGTATGCTGCTGAAACAAGGGAAGGAAACCAATAAAAATCTTTTTCTTCGGTTCTTACTTCTCTATTGACCCCTGCAATAGCCCCCTCAAACAATCTATGCATCACTTTTGGATTAATTTCTGCTCTCATGTCCCTCCACTGCTCCCAGATTCTGATCTTCATCTCTATCTAGAGCAGTGGTTCTCAACTGTCCTAATCTGCGACCCTTTAATACAGTTCCTCATGTTGTGGTGACCCCCAACCATAAAATTATTTTCGGTGCTACTTCATAACTGTAATTTTGCTACTGTTATGAATCGTAATGTAATATCTGATATGCAGGATGTATTTTCATTGTTACAAATTGAACATAATTAAAGCACAGTGATTAATCACAAAAACAATATGTAATTATATATGTGTTTTCCGATGGTCTTAGGTGACCCCTGTGAAAGGGTCGTTCGACCCCCAAAGGTGTCGTGACCCACAGGTTGAGAACCGCTGATCTAGAGCCAATATCAAATTGCTTTTAGCAGCGGCAGACTAGGTAATCCAGACCAACTCTCCTTCTGAAAACAGCTTAAAAAAACATAAATCCCTTCCTCCCCTCCCCCAACATCAAAATGCTAATAGGATAGTGAAGGAATTAGCAAACCCAAAATCTAGAAGACAGAAATCTAGCAAGGCGAGCATGGTTTGTGGGGCTGCTTTTGCCCAAGGGGCATTGGCTGAGATAAAGAGGAGGCTGAGAAATAAGCTTTGCTTTTGAAAATTGTAAGTGACTAGAGGTCAAAAAGTTGGAATCTACAGCTTACTTTCCTTTTCACAGTAGAGGCCCTGGCAAATTCCTTGGCACTCAGAGCTGGGGCCCTGCAAGAGAGTCAACCAGAAGGAAACTGCTCTCCCAGGGGCTGCAGTGCGGCTGAGGCACGTGGGTGGCCGAAGAGTCTGAGGCTTTGGCTTTGGGTTGAACTAATGTTGGAATGCTTGTATCCCTAGGTGCCTGGCAGAGCAAGTGAATCCTGTCCGGAAGAACTTACTCTCCAAGGTCTCAAATGATTTCTACAGATTATTTTAACAGAACATCCTACACACAATAAAAAGTAACCAAGCAAATGAAGAATGACATGGAGCCCACGCTTCAGGGGCACAGGCAGTGAGTGGGGCTGCCAGCTCTGTCTTTGACCTCCCAACTCCCGTTCGTAAGATCTCTGCTGCAGCTATGGGATCCATTCACTGTCCCTGACTGTTCATTTATTAATGTAGTGCCTTCTCTTGGGAGGCCTTGGCCAGTCTTCAGGCAATTGCTGTCTCTTCCACAATGATGTCTCCCCTACCTCCTCTGGCCACCAAGCTTCTAGACTCTGGGAACCATTTTGAGAACCACTGCTCTAGTCCAACCTCTTTTCTTCCAGTTGAACAAGGACCTAGAGCAGTGATAGCGAACCTATTTTTTTTGGTTGATTTTTCTTTGTTAAATGGCATTTAAGTATATAAAATAAAAAACAAAAATATACATCTTTGTTTTACTATGGTTGCAAACATCAAAAAATTTCTAGATGTGACACGGCACCAGAATTAAGTTAGGGTTTTTCAAAATGCTGACACTCCGAGCTCAAAAGGTTCGCCATCACTGACCTAGAGCCTTGATGGACTGATTCAAGATCAGATTTATTATGTACTGTTTGTAATGTGATTTCTTTGGAGGATAAATTAATTTTATTTTTTCTAGAATATAGGTTCTTGAAGGACAAGGATCATGTCTTTAATAACTTTTGTATCTCCCATTGTTTATCACAATGCTTTACATGAAGAAAAAACTAAACAACTATTTTTTAAAGAAATAAGTTACCATGGAAAGCCATTTAGTATTTGTGAGTGGTTTTGTCATCTGTTAAAATGATTGAAACAACATCTGCTCTAACTTAGTTCATTAGGTTGCTGAGGGGCTCATGGGCTAATGGATATGATAGAGCTTGGGTTATGTAATATGTTATAAAGAATTAGTTAAAGCAATAAGCATGATGATCAAGCAATCATTGTGTATTTACAACATGAAGAATATTAAACTATCAATGATTAGAGATGAACAAGAATCAAAATTCGCCCTGGCCAGGGTGGCTCAATTGGTTGGGTGTCGTCATGCACACTGAAGGGTTGCTGGTTCGATTCCTGGTTGGGGCACATGCCCGGGTTGCGGGCTCTATGCCCAGTGGGGGATATGCAGGAGGCAGCCCATTGATGTCTTGCTCTCACATCAATGGACTTCTCTCTCTCTCCCTCTCCCTTCCTCTCTCACTAAAAACCAATGAAAAATCTTTAAGAAAATATTTAAAATTCATTGTCTGAGCCCTCAAGTATTTGACACCAGGATTCAAGCCATCCATTCACTCACTCATGCAATGTTTATGACTTGCATTGTGTCAGAAATAGAACAGTTTCTTCCATACCTAGCTGGGGGTGCAGATAAAGGTGGCAAGTGATATAACAGAGATATTTGTAGAGTGCTAAAAGAGCACAAGGGGGAGATACCTGACATGGAAAGCGAGGTATTAGGAGGCTTTCCTAGAAGAGGTGACCACTAAAATGAGTCTTGAAAGACAGGTAACAGAAGAAAAAGGCTATTTCAGGAAGATGGGACAGCAGATGCAAAGGCCCAGAGTTTCCAAGAGCAAGTCTCCTTAGGAAATTTTTCGTGGTTTTATGCAGATGTGAAGGCCTGTTGACCTCTGGGCTGTTACGTGGGTACCAGAGTAATGATGGCCTTGTGAGACCTAGGAGCCACACTAAGAAGCATGAGTGCTCCTCTTTCCAGGGGACTATGTGGACCATCCGGTCCAGCACTTCTCAACCCTGAGCCTGAGTCAGATCTTGTGGAGGGCTTGTTAAAAGACAGATTGCTGTCCCATCACTGAGTTTCTGATCAGGTAGGTCTAGGTCTAGGGTGACCTGATCATTTTCTTTTCTTCTTTTTTTTTTTTAAAATATATTTTATTGATTTTTTACAGAGAGGAAGGGAGAGAGATAGAGAGTTAGAAACATCGAGGAGAGAGAAACATCGATCAGCTGCCTCCTGCACATTCCCTACTGGAGATGTGCCCACATGTCCTTGACCGGAATCAAACCCAGGACCTTTCAGTCTGCAGGCCGATGCTCTATCCACTGAGCCAAACCGGTTACGGCCATTTGCTTTTCTGACAAGTTTCCAGGTGATGCTGATGTTTCTGATCTGGGAACCATTTGAGAACCATGGCTCTAGTCCAACCTCTTTTCTTCCAGTTGAACAAGCTGGGACTTGGATGGGACGTGAAGTAACAAGGTCACACAGCTAAGTGAGGTGAAGTAACCAAATGACCAGCACTGTCACCCTCTCCTCCCTCTCACAGCAGAGTTCTCCCACTCCTGGGCCTTCAGTAGCCTTCCCTCCTTCCCTCCCCCTTAATGGTCATCCTCTCTCATGTTCCAATTTCAACCACCGATAAGGGAAAGGAATTGGTTGTCCCAATTTACATTAAAATTCACTTTTAAAGGAAGTCCCTAAGGAGGGCATTTTTAAAAATTCTCACTTGAGGATATGTTTATTGATTTTTCTTTTAGAGAGAGAGAGAGACAGACAGAGACAGAGACAGACAGAGAAACATTGATGTGAGAGAGAAACAATCGGTTGCCTCCTATACACGTCCTGATCAGGGACCAAACTTGCAACCTAGGTATGTGCTCTGACTGGGAATCGAACCCGCAACCTTTTTGGTGCACGAGACAATGCCCCTACCAACCAAGCCACCTGGCTGGGCTATGTTTTAACTTAAGCGAGTGCATCTTTATTAGCAGCTTTGCAGGCAAGCACCCTGGAAGGTGGCTCCTGACACACCGTGGGTACTACTCGATCTCTGTCCAGAGAGACATCTTGCTCCATGTAGTGGGGGCACAAAGATGGATCAGATGCAGTCCCTATGCCCACAGCTTACTGAGACAAGCCCTACACTACAGACGGATAATATAACAGTGCACATCTCAAGTGCAGGCTTAGTACCAGAGCTTAGCAGAGGAGAGGTACGGAGATCCTGGAGAACTTCATGGAAGATGAGCCGGAGGAGAAGACATTCCAGACTGCAGGGGAAGCAAAGGAGATGAGGGGAAAACTTTAGGGATGGATAGAGGGTGTCAAGTCAGGTTCTTGTGGGGCAGGGGGTTAGCTAAGCCTGGACGGTCAATGGGACAGACTGGAATTTCTGGAATTCCATACTAAGCTCTTTATCCTGCTTGCCAGTTGTTTTTCATAGTTTTCTTCTGAAATATTCTAAACAAGAGCCGGTTGGAATTTCAAGGGGCAACTGCAAGCAAGACATTTCATGGAAGTTCATGTGATTTTTGCATGCTATTCAATAATGTTTCCATGTATATCTATACTAATAAAAGGGTAATATGCTAATTAGACTGGGCGACTGGATATCTCCTGGACGTCTGACTTCTTTCCAGACAGTTAGGGGGCAACCAGGCCGGCAGGGTGGCAGCTGGAGGGCAGCCAGGCCGGCAGGGGGGTAGTTGGGGGGCGGCCAGGCAGGCAGGCAGGCGAGTGGTTAGGAG